CTATGTTATTACAATATTTTTTTATTCTTAAGAAGTTACATTTACACAAAAAAGGTCACATTAACCAGAATTCACAAATGCTGGAATTAATCTGTAGAAGGAAGTGGTAATTAATTACTATGCCTCTTTTTTTTTTTTTTAAAACCCCATGACAGTCTAAAAACCTAACACATTTTCAAATTAACAGTTATTAATGATTAACGGAAACATTTAAATATATCAGCAGTTAATCAGCGTTACCCAAAGCGGATGTTTAAGGAGGCTGGTACTTCATGCTGCGAGACTAAATGCTAGCACAGCAAGGATACATGGATTGGGCACAAGTCGCTAAACTAGTTCTTTCATCAGCTTTGCCCACCTGATGTCATAGCTGTCGCCTTTCTCTCGGACCCAGTCTGGTTACACAGGCTACAGGTCAGCTTGTGCAGCTGTTTCTCCACAATTCAGTAACTCAAAGCAATCCTTCCCCCTTCTTTTGAATTGCAAATTTCTTTAGACAGAAATTTGGGAGGAAAAAAGCCATGTTTCCACTCTTCACAGTACAAAAATTAAGTTGTTACATATGCCTGGAAGAGAGAAATAGCATCCAAACGCCTACTTTCTCCTGAGGCACATCAAACCTTTACTGCCTTTGAAATGCAGAAGGATAAAATAAAGATGAGTCATTGCAACTGGATTTTTATTGTTTACAGTGTTATTTGCCATTAGTGTCAATGGTGCTGTTGCTAACAATTTATCAATGGGATTTACTCAAACAGAAGACAAATGGGGCTGGGCTTTCTTTTCCCCCCAGTATCTGTAACGGAAATGAGCACATATGCCTCTTGTTTTCCATGAAGAAATAGACACTACAAAATCAACGTTCCCTCTCTAACTTTCTGAATACAGACTTTTGAAGCACTTGTTTGAGTTCAGAAAAGACGTAAGACTTTCCTTGCTCAACACTGCATCCTCCCTTTGTTAGAATAAGCTTGCTCTGGAAGCTTCTTTCCAGGAATGTAAAAGTGACATTGCTTTTCAGCAGCTGAGCTGCATCACAGACTCACTGCTGAACAGGTCTTCAGTTCATTGCTAAATGGGAAGATATTCTGGGTGCTCCTGGAAGATAAAACATCCCAAACCTCTGTGGCAACACTCACCAGCTTACTTGTTAGCCAGTCCTTTCCAGGCCAACACAATACACCTTTGTTCCCAGCTGTCCCCATTGCTTTTTCACTTCCAGATTTTAAAGCTTTTATATTAAAACTATAATTCTCTATACTTCCTCCATGAGGGTTAGCCTCCCCCTTTGTCACTTCCCTACAGCTGCAGTGAACAGATACTCCAGCTGAATCTCCTGCTATACAAGAGAATTTGGCAACAGAGCATTAAGTAGGACTGACCCGAAGTTTGGGGAACAGGGCAGGGGGTGTCTCTGACATTATTTTAGGCCTATAGAGACCAATATTCTTTTTCTTTATTACGGCAGCCTAAGCAATCTGGCATGGAGTTCACTTTATGTATAACCTTGAACGAAATCAAAGGGTAACTATCAATTCATACTGAAGATTATGAAGTGGCTTAAATTAGTAAAGAATTCTCTTTTCACCACATGACAATCCTTTGATAGACAAAAACTCTGTGGCTTTCCTGATGGTTTTAGGCTATAGCTGAGAACACATGGAATTAAAATGAATTAAACAATAACCCCTTTATAAGCACATAGATTTTTTTTCAGCGCTGTTGCCAGAAAGAAACAAAGATGCTGTATCAAAAATGACATTATGCTGGGTAATACCTTGGTTTAGGTGTGTGGCCTCTGTAATCTGCATACCATTCACAGAACACTGCGCTCCATTCAGTGGTATTAGATTCACAGTACCGTTAAGATTTTCAAAGATGCAATGTTCACTTTCCAAATCAAGGCCATGAAGAACTAAATACAAAGAAATAACATAATTAATCTCTGAACAACTAGTAAGATTAGCATGCTATACTAGTCTTCAAATATGTAGTGCAGTATGTCCTTGATAAATATCTTTTTTCTCTATTCCAGACAACATTTTTTTCCTTCTGTCATCACATCCTGCATGCCTTAAATGTCGACAATGTTTATTGTTTTACTGTAGTGGAAAGAGAAGTGTGCTGGGTTGCTTGGGGTTTTTTTGGTGTAATGTTCTTTCCTCCTACGTTTTAGCACCAGATTAGTAAATGCTATTCTCCTGATAGCACACGGGAAATCAAAATAAATATATCTGTAGAGACAAGGCTTTTTTGACCTGTTTCTGGGAAATAATAAAAGTTTCTTGACCTTAGAGCAACCATGCTTAAATTTGAAAAGACAGTATACAATCTGTGATTGTAGACTAACAAGGATGGCTGAAATAAGGTTCTTACGTTCTATTATAATCAGGCCTTTTATCAATCAGTTACGCTACTTTCTGTCTCTTCTTCAACTCATGTACGATTATCTCTACCTGTACTGTTTATTAATACCACAAAGCTGTTTATTAATACCACAAAGCAATGCAAATTCACTAGTTTCATGAAATTTATACAGAAATTTTAATCCAGGCATCTTGTGACCTATGTGATTTGACTCTCAGTCTCTCACTTGAGAATTAAAAGATGCAGTTTACTTAGTGAAACTGCCTTCAAGCAAGATGTTTGACAGGGCAGTCCAGGTCCGGCAGTGAGCTGCTTTATAAGAAGCAAATAATAAAACCAGTACAAGTCGCCTACCTACTTTCTACCAACTTCCAGAAATTTCTTCAACTCAAACCTCAAGTACAAAGACTGCTTTAGGTATAACAACATAACCATACCATCATTATACAAAGATTAAGAGAACGACTGTGCAGTAATTGTGACAGGTGCTGTATTAAAAGGGATGGTATTTTTACAGGATGCTATTACAAGAGAAGCAAGAAATAAATTAGTAACAATTATATGAATATGAATAAGTTTTAAGCCCACAAGCTATTCTAGAAGTCATGCTCTCTGAAGCAAATCCCATATAATTCAGCCCTCAAATTTTCTAAAAATTAAAATAGGCAAGCACATACAGACAACTAACTGAAACAGGAGAAAAAAAAAATTACAAAGCTTTGTTCACATATTGGGATGTTAGAAGAAGGAAAAACAACTGAAGAAAAAATGTAAAAAAATGCCAAATTTCATACCAATATCCTGTTCTGTCACAGCATCTTCTCTGCCAACATATGTTTGGCCCTCCTAATTAAGAGAGAAACACATTATTTCCAGTTGAAATCTCCATTCCTCCCCAGAAAGATACAAGTTATCCTTCCTCTTTCTCAGAGTAACCTGAATATACATTTAAACATACAAAAAAAAAAACCCAGGCAGCATTTTTAGAATGCTTTCACAGCCATGATTACACAATATTATCAGGAAATCCAAGTTTCAACTGCCCTCTGTAGAACCAGCTTTGAGGTTTTGAGGCACTAATCTAGACTTGGATTTCAAGTCAAGCTTTGCAATAAGATGAATGAAAAAACAATATATGTGGGAAGGAATATTAAACACCTATCTCTGGTTAACCAGTTGACCTTCAGGATAAACCTAAACAGTAAATAAACAGGTGTTTTAGTTCAATCAGTTGCAACCTCTTAAGAGTTTTTCTTAAGCTTTTTATAGCAGAGAAACATAATGAGCTTTTCTTACTATGGTGGAGAAATGTAATGAATGCTATATTTAGATAGCAAATTAATACTACAATTTGTCTACTGAAAAAAAAAAAATCACATGGCACATAAAAGCTATGGAAACACAGATGTTTGTTTACCTTCAAGTGGTACAAGATGATACCAGTACTGAGCAGATCATCATCAATGCCAATGAGATGAGGCAGTTCAGAATCTAACACAACACCTATCCCTTCTTTCCTCAAAGCCAAGGTTTGTTCCTGTAAAGAACAAGTCTATTTATTAGGATATGCAAGAAATAACTACTCTTCCTTCTCTTTCTAAGCCACGTTTAATGTAACTTATTCTCTGAAATATCGGGGTTGGGGGGGGGGGGGGGTTTTTCAAATGTTTTTTCACATTTTCAATGCGACTGTTGCATTTCCATTGAACGTTCCAAGCTTGCTGTTCAGGAAATCAGTGGAGGTGTTATTTGAAAGAAACCAGACAAACAGCTGAATTATACCAGATAAGGAAGATCAATCAAGAGCATAACAAAGCAATGTTGTCTAAAAGCAAGCCATGTACCACCTTGCATAATGGTAAGAAGAATTTAAAACTCCTCAGAATTCAGTACGGCTAAGGAATAGAAAACAGAAAACTTTTTGGCAATCCTTTAAATAAGTTGAACCTTGCACAGTAAAAACCCCAGACATCTGAAAACTCGGTAAGCCTAAGCAGTTAAAACATCCTCCAATGTAAGGGAAGCACTGACAACAGTAAATAAATGTAGGAAATATTTGCAGCATATAATTTCAATTCTTCGAAGTTCCTTCGGGCAACATTGTACAGCCCCCTGTAGGAGGACGCATCATTCAGCAGGACTACAAGTGGGACATTTCCACCTTAGATAAAACATCATGTGATGTTGGATTGATCAGAAAGTCTACGCAATAAGTAAGAAATTAATTATAGCTTTGAAATAAGTTTTAGTATTCATAAACTTCATTTTTCCAGTAGAAACACAATCCTACTGGCTTCTAGGCCTGGAAAATAACTGCAACAGAGACTGTGAACGTGCACACACACAGCCTTTCAAAACGACTGCATTTTTCTGCATAAAACATCTTATCTCCCTGACAAGCCAAGGGAGACTGGCAGCCCAGGAAGGAGACACAACGTCAGCAAGTATCACTTCTGTGTATTATAAGGCACACACTTTTCTCCTGGTGCTAGTAAACATGGCAAATAAGTTTTCTGACAGCAGTGTGACAACTCCTTTCTCAAGTCATCAGTATGGCTTCTCCAGAGCCAACCAAGACACTATGCTGTTTGTCAAAAAAGCAGATAGATTGTTACATGTATTTTCCCCAAGTATAGTGATTTGACAAATGTGAAAGAAGAAAACAGATGCAGTATCTTGTTTCCCTGCACAGTACAAAACGTCACCAATATTGATACTCTTTATGGAATTCTAAGTATGGATACACCAGGGCAAAGACAAGATGATGACGCAACATATAAAAGACACTCTAAAACAAAACTAGGAAATCCCACTCTGGTCATGGATGGATTAAAAACTTTTTTCTAGCATTCAGAAAGAAAGAAAAAAGTTGTGATTTGTGTAGCCCTTCAGCTCTCTGACATTCAAACTGCACCCAGTTTTTCCTTCATATTAGAAAAGTGTCACCTCATAAAACCAAAAAATACAGCTTAAATCACTGTTTGACTGAAAAAGTAATTTCAGTCAAAAATACCTATCGCATATTAAGTATTTATTGAGTAGCATCTACTGTTATACATAATTTATAATGTTCCCATATGACAAGGTTGAAGACTTAAAACACTGAGGACTGGTGACCGTTTACACAACTGCTGGCACCTTTGGCCCAATGGAACTGGTGAAATATTAAGAGCTGAACACTTTTTCCCGGCATAACAAAGTATTTGCCAACATCCCCGACTGAGGAAAAGTAGTCATCTCAGGAGGCAATGAAGTTGCCACTCAATAAGAAAAATATCTCACAAATAATTAAGAATAATAAAAAAGAGACATTTTCCAATCTTTTAACATTTAACACATTTTTACTATATTCAGAAATAAAGTATGTATAATCATGATTTAAAATAGATGTGTTGCTTATTTATTCAGATCTAAAATTAAAGAACACAAATTAAAAATCCTGAAGCTTAATCAGGTATCTGGAACTGCTAAACTTCAATCATTTGACTTAAAATTTAATTCCAGATTCAAAAGGTTCTGCAAGGAAGTCTTCAAACACCAAACTGTGCCCTTCTGCCCCAAACAGAAATCACAGAGACCCCAACAGTAGATCTTTATTACTCTGTTCTCCCACAGCAAGAGAAAGAGAAGAAAAAGGCCAGAAAGAAGTAGCCAAATTGTCCCTCTTTCATCCTCGACGGCATAGGAAGGATGTTTCTAAAGGAGGGCAGACTTCTTTTGAAATAAATTGAAGGTCTGTAAGATACTGTAAGGCAGAGAAATTATTAAGTTTAACACATGATTTGATTCACTTTCATTTGTGCAACACAATTTGAAAAAGCAGTGAATCCATAAGTCAAATGACAAAAGCAGCAAAGGTCACTGCCCCTATTAAAAAAAAAAAAAGCTACTAATTCAGAAAATTTATGAAAACCTCAAGGTAGAGTTTAAGAAAGCTGAATGTACCACATGCATCTTATCTTGAATTATCCTTGAACAGAAAATCGTACACATACTCCCCCAGCATTTAAGACGCGTTCATAAACTGTGGAAAACAAAGCAAGCCAAGTATTATCCACAAAGGAGCACTCCAGTGAATACAAATGGCTACTAAGCGAGGAGGAAAAAAAAGGCTTTCTTCTTTAGGAGCTGCTAGGACTCATCTGAAGAGTAGAACCTCAGAAAATCATTTTGAGTCAGTACATAAGAAAACACTTCCTTGAGTCAAAGTTAAAGTAAGGGTATCATATTGTACATTTAAATGATGTCTCAGCAGTCAGAAACACCCTGATACAGTAAATTTGTTAACAGTTCTGTGAGAGATGTAAGAGCGACTGTGAAATCTCATCCCTTCTGCACTGAAGTATACGTTTGCTGTATTAACTGATATGGAGGCATTTCCAAACTCGCAGCTAAGATACGTTCTGGTAGTTTAAGAACAAAATCTTTGTGTAAAGTATTTATTTGAGTCGTAACCTTCATCATGTACAACTACCCCTGATAAAGAATGTCTCTAAGGATTTCTTTAAACATATTTCTTTAAATGTCCAGACAAAAATGGAATCGTAGAAGTTTACTTACTTAACCAATAGCATATTGAACTATATTAAAAAAGAAAATAAGCCCAAGAAAACATTTCTAACATTCCTTGACCAAACTACCAGTAAAGTGATCCATATGCTGCTACTGGCCCAGCACATATTAGAAAGTCCATATAATTAGTACATTGCCCTTTTAATGAACAGAACCTCTTGGAAGAGTTTAATTTCTGTTACGCTTTCCAATGCAAAAACTCAATTTTTTTATTTAAATATTGAACAGTTAGCTGCTGGCACACAGTCCTGAGAATACACTGTGCAGACACTTTCAGTAAAACATAACATTATGCTGGCTAAGTAAACTATCCAGATGTCTATATTTAAATTATGCAAAAATGCGTAATACCAAATTAAAGAAATTATGGGTAAAAATGTGCAACGACAAAAGTCTTTGCATTAATATTTAACCAGACCATACTAGAGCAGATTCTTATGCTAACAGGTACTTTGGGTGCATTTGATTTCATTGAAAATATGCTATTATATCCTGAGTTCACAAAAATGTCTGAAGATCCTCAGTGGCCCAGCACTAACATTAAGCTCTCTGTAAAATAAACAGATGTAAACTGTACACAAGGGAAGTTTTTAATTCTTAATTGGTTTTCCTCTAGTTATGTGTTCAGTATACTTTGCATTCCCTTTAAATCACTGGAAACAAATGTTTCATACCTACAGAAAAAAAATACTCCATATTGCTCAGAATTCAAAGGCATCTGAAAACACAGATTTCCAAACCCAGCAGATCCATGGCATTAAAGAGGCTACACAAACAAAGACAGCAAGAAACATGGATGAAGCAGCCTCAGCTGGTCACTCTATAATCAAGGTGGGTGAAAAAGCCAGGACTTCACCCACCAAAGTCAGAAACGGACATATTCTCCATCTCAGAATGGTGGAAGATTAGGTCACTCAAAATTACTGTTGCATCACTGAGGTTTTGGACAAACCCAGGAAGCTGAGGGTTGTACTACTGAATTACAACCAAAAAGAGATACACCTATACCAGGCAAACCCAGTTCATGCATGTGTGCTCTAAGAGGGCTACACTGCTTGCATTTCCAGAGTTAATCCTTCTCAAAAAAAACAGAAAATGAGGCATGAACTGCAGGGCAGGACCATGATTGAATGCCTACAAAACCTGAGCAGAATTCCCAAACAAGCAGTGCTTGCTTGCTGTTTCTTATACAAAGGAGTAGAAAAGAAAATCAGACAGCAGGAGTTCGAACCAAAAAGCAACCCCTTGTTAAACTGAAGGACACTGCAGACATCAATAATGTACAGAGATGCAAGAAATGAACTGGAGAAATGGTGAGAAGAAGGTACTTCTGGACGAAGGTACTTCTGGACAAAAGGCACAGTGCGATCCATCATGTGCGATTCCGTAACTTCAAAAACCACAGACACAGAAAACAAGGGAAGATTTCTGGGGAAGGATTGCCATCTGCTTGCCCTGTTTTATATGCCAAAATCGACTACTGTTGAACAAACACTACCTCACCTACGGGGGTATTTAATCTGAGCCAGTATAATTTTTCTTTAACAATGGCACAAAGGACTAGAATGTTAGAAGTCTGAGCTAAACTCAGATTTCCTAGTGTCTTAATGCATAGTATCAGTAAATACACCTTAGAAATTTGTGTTATCAAAATCTGAGTTTGACTCCTCATTTTTTACTTTAAAAAATTCTTACAGCAATGAGTTCTTTAACCCCTATGCATAAAAATCAAGGTAAGAAAACATTTCTCATTCACATTTGCTACTTTTTTGATACAATGAGGTGTTTTATCCTGTCTTCTGAGGGAGTAAGAAAGATCTCACTTTAAATTCAAATTTGTAGTAAGAAAATAAAGAAGTATGTATCATATAATGATTCAGTATGCAGTGTTTTCTGCTTTTGGCGAGTTACCTTCAAAGAAATCTGTGCAGAGAAGGGGCAAACATGGAAACAGCACTTCCGGCC